CCTATAATCCAGCTGTTGGTATCTCCCTATAATCCAGCTGTTGGTATCTCCCTATAATCCAGCTGTTGGTATCTCCCTATAATCCAGCTGTTGGTATCTCCCTATAATCCAGCTGTTGGTATCTCCTTATAATCCAGCGTCTCCCTATAATACAGCGTCTCCCTATAATCCAGCTGTTGGTATCTTCCTATAATCCAGATGTCGGTATCTTTCCGCCTTCTGGCCGTCTGGTTCCGCTGAACGCATCATTAGAGGTCAGCGGACATGAACGTCATCATCATCATAGAAACTAAGAAGCGGCCATTTGGCAGGAGCCCCATGAAGCGCCGCCCTGCAGGATGAAGTGAGGAAGTGCTGCAGGGACCCAGGAGTCGGCCATGATGGATGGCGGCTGGGACGAGGCGTATCGGTGGGGTCATCAGGTTCTGTTCATTTCTCAATTGAATCGTTTTGACATATTTACAGTCCAAAGACAAAAGCGGCGCCTCCTCTCTCAGGGTGGGGTGGGTGGATGGGCGGGGCTTTCAGGTGGCGGGTGCTGGGGAATCCCCGCCCTCCTCCACCTGGGTGGCCCGTCCACCAATCTTCATTTTGGAGAACATGTCAGCCAGGGTCTCCTTGAAGCCTTTCTCCAGCAGCCAGCCTTCGCTCTCACACTCTGGGTTCTCCGGGTCGGCCATGGTCTCCAGAGCCGTGCTCAGGTACTTCAGGCCTGCCGTGTCCATCCCCTGAGGAACACAGACCACAGGTGACATCAGCACCGTTACATCACAGTGATGTGGATTTGGTGATGCCATCTTGGGGAGGTCAAGAGCTCCGCTCAGTGACTTGTTGAGCAGGAACAGAATCAATCTTAATCAACTTTAACTCACTTAATATTGAACTAATGTTTTGCTAAAACAAACTAATGGTTCAGTTTATTTAAATATTCTCAGTAAGATTAAGAGTAAAAGAATATTCTGATAGGATGGTTGTTTTTTCCTTACAGCACTTTGCTCACCTGTGGTTGTATATAAGGGCTTAACAAATAAAATTAGATCGGATATTTATTTTAAATACATAAAAAAATGTGATTCAAATTTTTTTTCCCCACTTAAATAAGACAGAGCAACGAAAAACACATTATTCTCAATACTTTTTTTTTTTTTGCATTTGCAGTTTTTTTTTTTTTTGATCGAAAAAACTTTTTGGGAGTTGAATGATTAAGACATAAATGTCCTACATGTCCTATGGCCCAAACACAAAATAGATCCCTTCAACCAAAGAGAAAATTTTCAATAATAAAAAACTATTTTCTATGATTGAAAACGTTTATCTTTTCATTGAAGTTTCTTTTTTTTAATCGATTCTGTTGTTTGTTTAAAGCAACTTCTTTTTTGATTGAATAATAAAGACACAAATGTCCTACCCATTATATGGTCCAATGAAAAAACAATGTTACTACAATTAAAAAAGTTGCTTTTAAACAATAAAGACTGGATTTCTATAAAAAAAAAAAACATTTTCAATCAAAGAAAAGCAGTGTGCAAAAGTATTTTTTGAGTCTCAAATATATTTTTGCATTTAAATACTTTTTTTCTTTGATTAAAAAGTTTTTTTTTGATTGAAGTGAAGGTTTTTTTTAATTGAAAATATATTTTTTGATTGAAGCAAACAGCAGCAGGTCGACCTTCCCAAGATGGCCCCTGTAATCCCTGCGCTGTGACAGTCAATGCGGGTTCAGCTCTGATATAATGTCTATGTTCAGCATGAGGCCATCTAGAGGTGCGTTCCTGCTCATCATGGCTCCGCCCCTCCGCTCTGCTCAGCCAGTTCAGGCTGATGGAGCTAACCTTGTTGTTCTGACCCAGAAAACTTTCCTCTCAGGAAGTTTCCCTGTCTTTCCCAGAATGCATCCTGCTGTGGCAGCAGATTAACCCCCCCCAGAATAGTTCCTGATCCTGATCCCCCCCAGGCAGATTAGCAGCAGGACAGCAGCGCCATCACACACCATCCTGAGAGACCAGAACCAGGTCGGTCTATAAAGGACTGGTCTGGATCAGAACCAGAGGGACCCTGCTGGTCGTTAACCTTCAGGTCGCCTCTGGATGTTTGAGCAGCCATCTTGATTTCAGCAGCAGGATTAGAAACCTGCTGATCCTTTAGAAAAAGCCGCTAAAGGAAGGAATCCTCCACACACCGCAGGTTACCATGGAAACCTGTAACCATGCCAACAGAATGTCATCATCAAACTGATGGCAACTTAATGTTATAAAACAGTTGCTTTGTTTATTTAATATTAGCATAGCATTGTAACACTAAGGTAATGCTAATGATAGCATGCTAATCATAGCATGCTAATTTTGGCATGTTAATGGTACCTCTGGAATATTAATATCAACTGCAGAGGTTATGAATTCAAGGAATTTCATGTTTCCTTTGAACCAATCTGAGAACTAAAGATGTTTAATTAAGTAACTTGTCTCCTGCTGACTGATTGTCAGGATAATCTTTTGGAGGAAGGATAAAGTTTGCATGACAAGGAAATTATCAGCCCACATGGAGCTGGAAACGGGGCGTTCAGCAGTATGGTGCAGCTGCCTGTTAAAAAACATTAAACAGGTTCATTTGGCCAGAAGAGGCCAATTTTAGGGTGTTTTTACCTAAAATGTCAGAAAAAAACAAAATGGGGGACTGACCCTACACAGGCACCGTAGCACCGTGCAGCTACATGGATTACATGCTGCTGCAGACCCCAAACTTTTGGGAATTATTTCCCCAAATACACAACTATAAGGAAAAAGCTCAGACGTTTTCCTCTATTATATATTTCTCTCGTTACCTATCTGAAATTTGACTAACAACAAATCATATTCAGTTGACTCATATGAAAGTTTATAGATGTTAATGTTTACTTTAAATGATCAGAGACGAGTAGAGTAGCCTAGCCTAGCATGCTTTGCTGTCTATGGCAATGCTAGCATGAAGGGCTAACTTCCCTTGAACTGCTGAAGCTCGGTGCGTCGCCGTTGGAAGGTTCAGGTTCAGCTGATTAATAGATTGCTTCATGTGATGTCATACATCTGGTTATCACAGCTGACGACTGCGCGCCGCCGTTACAGGAGGGCTAAACAACCAGTTCTGACCTTATGTTGATGGACCCACAGTAGAATTCTTCTTGTGCTGCTTATGGAGGCAGCAGTCATGTCTGGAGGCAGATAAACCATCTTTCTATCCTTCTCCTACAGAGGAAGGGCCAAAAAAATCAGCTTGGGGACAGGCTATAGTGAAAAGGGCCAAACCTGGAGTCCAGAGAGCACCTACATGTGCAGCATTGACATTATTAAGTCTAATATTAGGATATGAGAAAGTATCATGAACTGACCACTTTCAGTGAAAAGGAGCTTCTGTTAATGAAAAAGGAGGATGGAGACAGTAATGTAGACGATGGATGGAGTGGGGAAAGCTGCGCAGAGGTTTTTAAATGGCTTTTAAAGAAGACAATTTAATCCTGGAAGGATTGTTTCGTGATCCTACCTCCAGAACTGACCAGCTAATGCCTTCTCTCTCCTGCACTCTGAGAATTTGTTTTGTTTATGCAGAGGTTATACAAAATATTATCAATTTCCATTGATAAAGTGCAGCAGTGATCAAATGTAAACAGTGTAGGAGAGACATGCTAGCCTGGGTGCCATTCCGAACTTAGTCCCGCCCACAACGTTTGAGGTCGGGAAGTTCGGTCTGGCATTGCTCAATAGTAGGGCGAGTATGCTAGCACAGTATCTGGTGGGCCAATCAAATTGTCAGGGCGGGCTTTATACGATGATGGACAGATGATCAACAGTAATGTAATCAACCACGTGACCAAAGCGCGCTTGGGCGACAACAACAATGGCTGCCGCTGGAGAGTTGAGGTGAGTAGATTCTGCTATTAGGTCTGTTCTAGAAGATATCGACAGCAAATTAATTTTAAAAGAGGAACAGAGAAACGCGATCAAGGCTCATCTTCTTATTCTAGGCGTGAAACTGCACGCTTTGATTTTTGTTGACAACTATGCGTCGCTTAACATACGTCACGCACTCCGTTGCTCTTATTGGTTGTAGGTCTATCCAATTGAGTGCAGAAGCATTTTTTTCCTGGTTCGTTTGAAACACGCCCCATAATCACAGCTCTATGGAGCAGCATCAGACTCATTCTGACTAGAATTGAGTCGGACTACGTCAGGCTAGGGACATGGTGCAAAAGGTTCAGAGCAGTGCAAAAATCAATCAATCAATCAATAAATATGGTGCAGGTGGGCTCTCCTCATCCTCCGCAGGAAGTCCAAGCGCTTCTGGGCCCTTTAGACCAGTGAGGTGGTGTTTCCAGTCCAGGTGAGGGTGTCTGTGATGTTCACCCCCAGGAATTTTGTCAGACGTTAGCCAGTTAGTTAGCCATTCATGCTAGCTTTGCCAATCAGAAGCTGGTGACCGATTTAGCATTTTTTCACCAGTTGTTGTTAATATAACCCCCCCAATCTTACATGTTTCTATTGGAAACAGAACTCAAACATTTTTCAATCTGATGCTGAGAATTTGTTCATGGAAATTAAATTGAATTATGAGTGAAGAGCTAAACAAACAGATGCGCTAACATTAGCACATCTATTAGTGCTATCGCACATCCACCCTCTGCAGCAGACAGAGAATAATTTATAATGAATATTTATAATTAATAATAAATATTTTAATACCCTGTGCAATAGCTATATATATATATATATATATATATAAACCCATGGAAACATCCTGTGCAATAACCCTGCATAATAATCCTGTTATTAAAATAAAAAGCTGTCCTATGTGGATTCACTGTATATATCCCATCATGCACCTTTTCCTTCCTTTGGCTCCTTCTTCTTCTTCTTCGACTTTTTGAGCTGATGGAACAAGTGAATTTCTCCACCGTGAGTCCAATAAATTAATCAATCAAGAAGCTAATACTCTGGTTATGCTACCGCTAACTTCCATACCACCTTCCACCACCAAGGACAAGGTCAGCCTGCAGCGCGTCATCCAGTGTGCAGAGAAGGTGATTGGCTGAAATCTTGCATCTCTACAGGATGTGTTCGCCTCCAGGACTCTGAGGCGTGCAGGGAAGATTGTGGCTGATCCCTCGCACTCCGTACACCCCGGGGCTGCCGTACACTGCTTCTGTCAGTGAGCCCCAGGGCAGCTGTGGCTACAATGTATCTTGCCACCATCAGTGTGTGAGAGAATGGGTGAATGAATGTAGTTTAAAGCACTTTGGTCAAGTCTCCTGACTTGAAAAAGCGCTATATAAGTACAGACCATTTACCATTCCTTGTAAGGTCAAACCTACTTAGGTTGATATATAAATCTGATTGGGATTCTTCAGACCTGCTGATCATGTTATCTGGACCTTTTTGCTCTTCAGCTTCTTTGGGAAACTTTGGGTTTTATTAATTTGAACTGAAGCTAATTGATAAATCTAAAGAAAAAGACGCTGTCCACCTTAGATACTGATTGGCTGCAGGAATATGTGGGCGGAGTCTCACCTCCAGGACGATGGAGAAGATGATGAGCGCTCCGATGGCGTTCATGATGCTGCTGTAATAGGAGAAGACGGCCTCCCGGCAGCCTCTGCTCCAGATGTTCAGCTCCTCAGTGCGATGGTCGTAGTCATAGTGGGCGGAGTTATTGGTCAGGTGATGCTGGATGCAGGGCCGCGGGGAGCCAGGGTTACAGCAGCTGAAAGGGACACTGTCCATGAGGTACTTCCCCTCCACGTTACTGAGGACACGGCTGAGGGACAGAAACAGAGGCCAGAGTCAGCCAGGTCCCCTCAGGGACACCTGGGAGAAAACGTCCCACGTCCAGCAGGTAGACGGACGAGGGACCAGGTAACCGTTGATCAGTCGGTGTCTCACATTATGCAGCTATCAGTCCCCCCCCCCCTATGGATACCTGGCAGGTGGAGGTCATCTTAGCCCTGACCCCCCCTGGTCTCACCATCAGCTCACCATCACTGACCCATTCAGACTGCAGAGCTGAAAAATCTGTTTCTATTAAAGCCGGATGGAGAAGCTGAAGCAGTCACTGAATTTCTGCTCAGATTAATTTAATCCCAATGATTAATCTGAATCTCCATTCAGATTATGGATGACAATCAGATTGACGTCGATATTTGATAGAGCTGCTAACAGCTTATAGGTCAGGATGTCCGTCTCATTCCCCATCATTTGATCTATTCTTCCAGTGGTTATGCAGAGGAGAGGAGGTTTAATCTAGAGCCAAACCTCCTCAGATTAGCTCCTCTACCAACACAGGCTGGAGGAGCTCCATCATTACATCAGACGCTGTTCTGATCCACCTGCCGCTCCACCCGACATCAGCCAGGATCCTGGACCTCACTGGGTTGATCTGATGTCCACCGTCCTGCAGAACGTCTCACCCCCTGCTGCAGCAGATCAGATCCTCTTAGAGAGAAACTGGACCACGTTTACCTTCTAAAGCGTAGACTGATCCCTGCTGAGCACCTGAACGCAACATTTCATCTACAGCTTCACTTCTCTGAGAAACAAGAAAAAGCTTCTCCATCCAGCCTGCTGCATTCAGGGACTCCATAACCCAGCCTACGTGCTGCATTCAGGGACTCCATAACCCAGCCTACATGCCGATGCTTTAGCGCACGTATTCTTTACATTG